TTGTTATATTTCCTTATCAGTTATATTCCGTCTTCCGACTAATTTGATATAGATCGTACTTGCCCATAGCTCTTGCAAGCACCCCTATGTTAGAATTATATAGGCCTAATATTTGTTTTATTTCTTATCAGTTAGATTCCATCTTGCGACTAATTTGATATAGATCATACTTGCTTATAGCTCTTGCAAGCACCCCTATGTTGGTTTCCTTTGGAGGCACTGAAGAATGGCCCGTAGGAGCAGAATCCATTGTCAACTCGACAGTAAGCGAACCCTTTTCAGCTATGGATATCCTAAACGAAGACACATATGAAAATTTTCTTTGTCAAAAGTAACCTAGGATATGCAGCCACTTAAAGGCAGAATCAATGATTCCTAGATATGACATGCGCATGGAGGACCGCAATGATGGGTATCCGACCAGTTTTGATTTCCGAGTCCACTTTGCTGAAACCAGTTTGCCAAATGCCAGTTTCCAAAAATCATGTAAGGCAGTTTACTAACTTGGTTTGCCAAATGTCGACCCACATGCTACCAAGGTTGGTTGACTGGTCATGTACCGTAAATGAACAAGATGGTAATGCCTGCATGTTCTACTTTTTGGGAACATGATTGTATGGAAGAGCCGCATGTCTATCGGATGCTTACTGAAGTTTTAGACAAAATATATACGTTCCCTCCATCAAGAAAGGCGGGAGTATGTGCCATTTAAATGAGGTATTAAATTTATTTAGATGATATAATAAATTATTGTTTATAGAAATTGACAATCTACAAACTAGGTTTCGGTAAAATGAGATTCAGCAGGTTTTCACAACTTTTGAGTCGACAATTGCATTCAACAAACTGGATTTTGGCAGGAGTCGGCAATTTGGCATTCTGCAATTGCCAGAATCGGCAATCTATCTTAGGGAAAAAAATATCTATTAAATAGGCATGGGCTTTTTATATGTTTAGTGTAACCATATACTACAATTCAAACACAATTCAACAAAAGAATTTCAACTTACATAGCAACCGGCTTATTCACAAACGGAAAAATGCCGCGGGTTACCATGGTGCCCTCATCTAAAAGAAATTCGACCCGAGAAACGCCTCGCTCCTGCAAACGTTGGGCTATGTAGCGAGCACCCTTATTACCTTGGATCTAAAGAAAATAACATAATTATTTGAATGCCACTGTATCCTTATTGGAAAGATCGATGTAAATACAAACCTCTCAACTGCCATCGGTTATTTTCAATTATGATCACTATAAACAGTTATGACATGGAATTGTATCTTCATTAAAGTAAAATAGGGATTACATTATGTTGAGAAAAAAATGCTGATCACAATTTGAACCCAAGACCTACCAATTACCGTTCGGTTCATTTACTGTTTTCTCCCTGTCATCTGTTGCGTAGTACACGATTATTGTCTTGTACTACGTTAACAGTTTGAGAATTTTTGATTCATTGAAATCCTGATGGGGTGCTCCACATTATTTAATCATGAATACTGATGTATTAGTGGCACTCGAAAAAAAAATATAAAGTTACGAAGACAAACCAAATATCACTAAAAATTTATTAAAATTAGATAAGCCGTACTAGTCTGCTTAAAGTAAATTAACATACAATTTCAATGAAAGTCAAAAATAATACAATTAGAAAAATCCACACGATGTAAGATGACCTGTTCTGCGAACCAGACCACTTTTGACAGTGGACACAGACCCTACAATTCATTACCTCTTCATCATGTCCAAATGCGATGTACAGAGATCGTTTGGGGAGGACATTACGTTTCAGTCTAAATTCTAGCGCCTCCATGATACCCTGCAAAACAAAGAAATCAATACACCAACATTTTATTTGTTATTTACTGATCATAGTTATATGTTCTATACGCTATACAAACATGCCAGTTATCATAATTAATAAAAAATAAAAACAGGCTTATTATTATACTAAAAATACTAACTCATAATAAGGACCGGGGCGGCAACGAAGAAGACAAAGCCGTTTGCAATTACTAAGACGACAACAAGAAAAAGAATGACTACGAAGAAAACAATAAGACATAAAAAAAAATAAAAAATTACAACAAAAACAACAAAGGCAGCAACAACAATAGGCCTAATAACAACAACATTAACAATAATAGGCCTCACAATTATTAACAGCAGCTCGGCAAAGTTTACCTAAAATGTACACACTGTGTTAGGTGTCATTCCTAACAAAACCAAAGAATTTCTCAGAATTCCCCCAGAACTAGGCTTACATAGCAAATAAAGTTACTATCTATAGTTTTTCATTATTAGGCCTATGAATAGAACGCGGAATGCCTATGAATAGAACGCGGAATGAACAATATCATTTGTACTTCATTATGAACAAGTACGTAATGGTAGGCCTAGTTCATCTATTTCATTGTGAATATTTTTTTCAACGATTACGGTAATTGTTCTTCACTGTCCAGTGGCGGATCTAGGTATAATATATATAGGGGACCCGGGGAGGGACTTTTACAGAGGGAGGATCTATAGGTCTATCACCTCAGCTCCACCATGGTTGGGAATAATTCAAAACAATTTATGATTAGGCCCTATGGCACATCTAAGATGGCTGAAAATGGCACTGTCAGACTTAAAAATTAATTATATTTTTCTTTCTTTCTCCATCCATCCATTGTGGGCCCCTTGAATCCACCACTGCGACTCAGCTCTCTTTAATAAATATTTGGAAAAAATATTAGATGTTCATTTTTGTGTTTTTATGTATAAATAATAATAATAATAATAATAAATTAATAATATGTTATGAATATATAAGCACCATGATACTTTGTTTATCGTCCATTGTTCCTCTTCCGTAAATGAATCCATCTAGTTCGACCCCTTCGAAAGGAGGGACCGACCACTGTGAGTCGTCTACAGGAACAACATCCAAATGAGCGCACAACA